GGGGGGGGGGGGGGATTCGTACGGGGCCACTTCGTCGTGTCGTCGCAAAGGAAACACTTGATTGTATGTCTACGTAGCGTACGTTCGGAAGTGGTAGTTCAAAGGTCGTTGAACATGACAGCGCTCGTCGCTGCACGTCATCTCTGGGGAGGGGAGGGGGAGGCAAGGTCTCATGTCCAGCCAGCCACGTGCTTATAGCCTCTCCTACCAGGCATTCTCAACCTTACAAGGTTGTTTTGATGGAACCTTACCAATGGCTCATGTTTTCATGAGAGTGTGGAGACGAAGGTTCGTTGTTGCGGGTTTGAATTGAAGCTGGTGGACGAAACCGTGTGTGTGTGTGGGTGAAGAGGAGGCATGCTAACCATCCACGTCTACACCCTGCACGCCTCCCTCTTGACGACGTGGCAGCGCGTCGGCTGACTCGTTAAACCATGCCAATCTTGTAGTACCGGGGGCGTACACACTAGACACTAGACACGCTCGTGCGCGTGTGTGCGTGTTGACGGATCTGCAAACATGACAGCGCGCGGGGTGTGCAGTGCTGTCAACACCGTTCGCCACCTCCCATGTCCCCACCCACAAGGGGCACACGCGTCTGTATGCCCTCACGACCCCCCCCCCCCCCCCCCCCCCCCCCCCCCCCCCCCCCCCCCCCCCCCCCCCCCCCCCCCCCCCCCCCCCCCCCCCCCTCCCTTGCTGCCTGTTTGCACACGTATGAACTTCAATCTTTGTCGTCAGGAGGGGGACCGATTCGGCGGGGGCAACTCCGCTGACCCCCATCAAAGCAGCGGCGGGGGGGGGTCTTCTCGATCGGCGTCGCCCCCTAGCAAAGAGACCGTTGCAGGCGTTATGGTGAACGGTTACTGGTTCCCTTCGCTTGACGCTGCTGCCAAGGCTCCCGCTGGCAAGGTGTGGCAAGCAGCAGAGTCTCCTCGGTCTAGGTCTACTGCCGTTTTCTGTGAAGTTGCGTCACCGTCGAACCGCTGTCCATCTGCAATAGTGGATTTTAGGAGTATGGTGCTCAAGTGTTTTTGGTTCTGCTTTCTGTTGTTTTTCATGTCCACCGCATGAACTGGAGTGAGAAGGTTTTACAGGCACGTGTGTGATGTGTTTTTATTGCCAATAAGGGAGACAGGAGAGAGAGAGAGAGAGAGAGAGAGAGAGAGAGAGAGAGAGAGAGAGAGAGAGAGAGAGAGAAACACACACACACAACAGAATCAGCATTGGCAGCAGTGGATGGAGAAGGGCGGGGAAAGAGACTCTGCCCTCCGCGCGTTGGGTTTCTCGGACAGGAATGCCCACTCTTGACACAACAAACTGTCTTTGCTGACATGTGCAAAAAACAGTAGCTTGAAACGGTAATTTTAGTGGTGACTTTGCACGTGAACAGGTCGACAAGCTGCTGGAAACCAGACCGTTGGCTCTCGAAACCTTGTTCTCAGCTCACAACAAATTAATGATAAATGTTTTTGTAACGTAAAATACGTGTTTTTTGCCTTTGCTGTTCTTCATTTGCGTGTTTTTACTGTTCTTAATTTAGGGCTTCGACTTCGCAGAGGCTGCGGCAAACGCGGCTGCCGAGGCCGCTCGCGCTAAGGAGAGGCGTCGAAAGATGCAGGTTAGTTTGGGGAGAGTGGAGGCGTGCGGAGTTTGTCTCCCGAATCTGTGAGGGGTAGTGACCTCTGGATGCAGCTAGTGGCGTGCGACTTGTTTCGACGCTTTCGGCAAAAGCCCGGTTGTTGGCTGCCGCCTATTGCCCCGATCTCTCCCTTCTTCCTGCCCCCCCCCCCCCC